CGCCCCCCCCCCGTGACAGATGGAAAGACAGACGGACGGACACACCTCGGCACAGCACATGTATCACTTACTGCCCGCGCTGGGTTCCCCTGGTCGATGGGGTTCTTGAAGTCAGTCCGAAGCTCGTCAAAGGCTATGATCTGGGGGCAGGGGCGTGTGCCCGTCAGGGTTGGGGCAGCCGCTCATGCCTCCCCTGCCCCTCATGGCTCCGCGTGCCTGTTCTTCCACCGGACAGGGATTCATGCATGGGAACCCTACCAGATGCAGCTTGTTGCTAAGTGGAGAAACTGAGGACGAGGGAGGGGCAGGACCTGGCCCAAGGTCACAAAGAATTCTATAATGGAATGCTAGTGTCCTGATAACCAGGTTTGGACTCGTGTCCACTGCATTCCCTTCCCATACATTTTAAGATGTGGCCTCTCTTCTCGGCGCGGTGCTGAGCGCAAGAGCCCTAGATGCTTGGAACACAATCCCCGTCCAGGAGGAGACTGAGGCTGGGAGGTGGAGGAGAGAATTCCTAACTATATTTTACGCGATCAGTGGTGAGGGGTACAAACAAGACCCCATATTGGGTGGTGGGGTGCAGGCTGACTGTGAGTAGGCATTTGGTGAACAAATGGGAGGAATCCAGTCCAACCAGTGCTAACAGCAGATACAAAGGCACAGACGGTTGAAAGAACATTCAGGAAGCTGCAGGTTCATGGGCTGGGTTGTGTGAGGAAGGAGGGAAGGAAGGAAGGAAGGAAGGAAGGAAGGAAGGAAGGAAGGAAGGAAGGAAGGGAGGGAGGGAGGGAGGGAGGGAGGAAGGAAGGAAGGAAGGAAGGAAGGAAGGAAGGAAGGAAGGAAGGTATGGTGCAAGGTAGGTGAAGAGATCCTGGAACCAGACATGGTGCCCTGGGAGGGCAACCAAGACTTGAACACAGGAGTAATGGGGAGCCACAGTGGGCTATACAGGAAAGTGAGGCAGTCAGGCTGATGGCTTAGGACTGGTGGGGGATCCAAGCTGGCTAACAGTCACAGCCAAGATATCCACCCAGCAGACTTTATTAGCTCGCTGAGTGAGTGCTTATAACAACCGAATGCCTTAAGTACTAGTATTATTTTCATTTCTGATTTGCAAATGAGAAAACAGAGGTTAAGTGCCTTGTCTAAGGCCTCTCAACTAGTTAGTGGTAAACTGGTAACCCAGTTAAAGGTACTAACTACTTTGTCATACTCAGGCCAGATCAGTGAGGGGTGCTGGAGTGTCCAGGGAGGGGTTCAACGTGTCTGAGAACAGTGGCCATGGAAATGGAGAGGTGTGAACAGATTCCAGAGCTCTCTCTTGGAGCCAGGCTACAAAGGGCTTATGTGTGGGGGAGTGAAGGCACCACTAAGCCTTCTGTTGTGGTGTCTGGGGGATGGCAGTGTCTTCAGGAATGGGGAAACTCCTGAGAGAGGTGTTTAAAGAGATAGGGCATGGATCTAAAAGGACCTGGCAGGTGACCTGGGGGAGGCAGGCTGACAGAAGCCTGACTGAGGGGAAGGGGGAGTCCCCTCCTCCCATCCCCTCCAGCCTCAGGATGAGGCAGCAGGCCCACCACCCCCAAGCATCATAGACCCCAGACGGCTCAGAGGGAAAGAACATGGGCTTCCTGGAGGGAGCTGGGGCCATCTGGAGCCCCTCCCCCAACTCTTCATTGACTCTGGGCTGCCGCCTGCCTGATAGGCACAGCAACAAGGTCCAGCAGGGGCAGGTGGGTGCTGTCTGTCTGCCCCCAAGCTGGCACCACCAGCAGGCAGTGGGTTGTCTTGCCTCCCACCCCCCAGGCTGCCTGGTGCTGACTCAGCCCCCCCAACAAACAACCCCCCACTGTGACAGCTGACACACGTCACTCACCACCAAGGTTGCCTAGCGACTAGTGGGGCCAGGGCTGAGGGTTGAGGTGGGACCTGGGATCCTGCCTCAGAAGGTTCTTTTTTTTTTTTTTTTTTTTCACCAGCTTCAGATTGAGGATCACATTTCCCCCACTCACCCCTGCACCTCACTCTGGGCACTGATGTGTCTACGAGCCCTCTACTGACGAGGAAACAGCTCTAGCTTGCTAAGCTCACCCAGCCAGAAGGCTGGATGACCACAGTGCCTCACATAGTAGGGTCTCCATAAAGGCTTGTTGAGAGAACAAAGGTGCCACTCCAAAGCTTAGGAGACCTAGGTACTCCACAAGGGCAAAGTCTGGGTCTCATGTGGCCTGACCCCCTTCACAGCCACCACACAGCTGTGTCAGGCAAGCTTTTCTGTGGATCTCCTGAGCCCAGGGACCCTGCCACGGAAAGTGGGAACCTGGGTGGGATGGGACCTGATAAGGGACTTCTTGAATTCCAGGCACAGGTCTGTGTTCTCTCACCTGTCCCCAGCCCTCAACCAATCCTTCCAGTTCTTAGGACCCAAGCTCTCCTGCCCACACCCCACAGGACTGTCCAAGACCCTGGGCCTGGGATAGCAGGTCAGATCACAATGGATCTGAGGGGGTGGAAGAAGGAAAAGAAAAAGCAACAAGCAATTGAGAGACTGGGACTGAGAGAGGAGCAAAGGGCTGGAGCCAAGGGGTCTGGGGATACCTTTGGGGGCTCAAGATCATCATGCAGTAGTGGCATAGCAGATATGAAAGAGAAAGGGGGGAAGGGCAGGAGGAAAGATAGAGGGAGATATCAGGGAGAACCCTAGAGCAGGCACCAAGTTCTGGGAAAGAGAGGAAGTGGGAAGAGCAGGAAAAAGGCAGGTGGGGCAATGGGAGGGAAGAAAGAAGGGTGAGAGGGCCGGAGGCCACAGCCAGGTAGGAGGACCCCTGAATGAGGATAAAGACTATACCAGGCAGGTGTGTGCAGAGGGCATCGGGCTGCAACAGACTGCAGGCCTGGATGGGATGAGCTTGAGGCAGAAACCTCAGAGGACAGAAGTGAAAGGAGAGCCATTAAGCGGGAGGGCCTGTGACCCCCAACAGTGGGCCAAAGGCTCATAGTTCTATAGGGAAAGGGGTCAGGTTGAAGGGGCCCTGGAGAGAGCTAAGGAGAGGAACCCTCTTCAGGGGGAAGCCATCAAGAAGAGAGATGAAACCGGGACATCAGGTGTGAGGCTAAGCCAGGGTGAGGACAGACCAAGGGGGCGGACAAGGAAGACAAAGAGGATGTGGGGGGAGGAATAAGAAGGAAGCTGGAAAGTGGAGAGGAAACGGGGAATACCCAAACGGAGACACTGGGGGACACTGGGGCTGCCTAGAACCCATCCCTACTTGGGTCAGGGACGGGGTTGGGAAGGGACAGGGTTAAAAGGGCTCCAAGGTATGCGGGTCCTGTAAACAGATGCAGTTGCTATAGCAACGGGCTCCATCAATCGGCTGGAAAAACCCACAAAGGGGGGAGCAAAAGACAGACAAACTGCCCGATGGACAAATTTGGATGGATGGGGGAGTGCAGACGAAGCAAAAATTCTGGAATACTGCCCCCTGCCTAATGAGTAGATGGGATAGGGCCGGGGGGGGGGGATAGGTGTCAGGACCTACTGACAGGCGGGGGTGGCAGACGAAGGGGGGCCCTCTCGGGAAGGAAGCTGACGACAGGGGGTGTTAATGGGGGCGAACCAAACCCGATGGAAGAGGGATAGTGGAAAAGAGGCTCTAAGTTTCCCCGGGGCTCTGAGACTATCCGTCGCAGCCCCCTCCCGCTCCCTGATCCCCTGCCCCCACCCCGCCCCCAGCCCGAGCACAGCCTTACGTGCCAGATGACAAAGAAGATGAGGGAGGCGCACAGCACCAGGGTGAGCATGTAGCAGAACGCGGCGAAGGTGAACGCCATGGCCCCCGCGCCGGGCGGCGGCCCGGGGGGCGCCAGCGCG